TTTTTTTTTTATGATTTTCCAATATCACACATGCTTGGATATTTATCAGTGCTGTACATTTTTTTAGCTTAATTAGCATTCAATTGCACTGAACTACATTTTTATTTATTTATTTCACTTTTAAATTGTATTGGACTACCACTACTCACAAAAGTTGGCATAAGAAAAGAAGATATTTTCTGTCAGGCCATTAGGTGACCTGGCACAGTGAGAGTCTTCTGAAATCTTGGTGATCCAATGGCCAGTGCAAAGGTGTGACTAGGGTTACTCATAGAATTCTGTTCTTGAGTACTTGTTTAAATTCTGTGAACAATGGCCTAGAGAGAGATGCAGTGATCTGAATTTCTTTTGGAGCTTTGGTGTATTTCACTTTTCCAGGTATTTGGATTAGATAATACTTTGATGATACCTGGGGAGTGGATGAATTGGATTTCGGTTGCTAAGTGGTAGTTTGTATTTAACTACTTGTATTGTTCACTGGTTTGTAATTTTATGTGAAATGCACTTTGATTTGTTCTATGCAACTGATTTCGTAGGCAATAGTTTTTTGTTGGCTCTCATTTGATTGATGCAAAAGCATCATGGCCATTTTTGCATTTACGATTTGTTCTTATTATTGTCTTATTTCATTGACTTTGAACATGCCACGAAAGTTGTGACTGTTCATGTAAATAAATGGCTTGTGAGGCCCCATTTGGAATTAACCTGGTTTTATTCGGTGCATTGTTGGCCTAGTATATACTTGCTTCATTATGCATGGTGAATCAAGAACAAATGTATTCCATCCTTTTGTTCCACACTTTTCGGTGGCATTAAAGTATAGTATTTATTCAATTTATCTTCTAATTTATTTTTAGAATTATCTTCACGTAAAATAGAACTCATTCCGATGTGATATAAATCCAAATACCATGTACCCATTCAACGTTTTGGATAATCGTGTTATTGGTGTGCTTCTCTTGAAACAAATTACTGGCTTTATTGAGGATTTATTTTGGTTGGAGAATTCGGTTGATCAATTTTAGTGAATATTTTTCAACAATTTTTGATAATTTTCTATCTGATTTTTCTATTCATGAGGTTTGACAAGGATATCGATTTCACATTGTGGGTGTAGATTGCGGATTTGGATTATTTGCATTGATAAACTAGTGTTGATTTATTCTTAGTTTGAGGCATTTAATTTCAGTTAACTCATGATAACCAGTACAAAAACCCAACATTGAATTTTGGAATGGTCCTTCCAAAAATAATAAAGAATGAATGGTACGATTAATATTGAGGTGGTTTTAGTCATTTGTGTTGTTTGTCTTAAACCATGTGCACCCAAGTTTTCTGAGGAGAAATGATTTAAGATTTTTGCAGTGTAAATTGAATATGTAAATATTGGATGGTCCTTGTTAGCTTAGAGAGGCAACTATGCTATTTAGATTATGTCATTACTCTGTAAAACTTGTATTGAAAGTCAACACTTTCTTCAGCTTCTATCAAATAGAAAGACAATCAAATAACATGGTTGAGGTGAACAAATTTTCACCTACTTTGTTATTTAGAAATTGAAAACTCAAATGAAGCTATTATTAACAAATCTGATATATGATCAATGAATTGTTGAACGCTGGATCAATTTCGATTGTATATAGAGTTTAATTTAGTTTAGGCCTAAGAGTACCAGTGAAAGAGAACTTCATAATTAGTTGGATTAAAATTGGAAAACTTCTACTGTTCAACTATTATAAAACATGTCATTCTTCAGTACTTGTAAGAGTTGTTGTTTCTTACTGGATATCTAGCTAGCAGCATTCCCAGGACAACTTGGATTCCATTCATATACGAATACATAACCTGAGTTTTGAAAATTGAGGTTAGAGATTCTGTTTTTGTGAAGCTAAAGTCTATACATTTCTTAGAACACTAAATCCGTGCATAGTTGTGGTCAAATGTAATAAATAGATCCACCTAACACAATGTACATAGATCAGTTTTCAACTCAGTGAATAGTATTTATTTATGTAGATACTGTTCATTGAACATAATCTGTTTCATCTTTATCAATATCTTGTCATATAGCTGATAGATAATGATCTGATAAATATACGAGTAGATGTTACATCTTTATGTCTGGTATTATATAATTAACGGATAACTATCTTTTAAATATATGATTAGAAGTTGGATCAACATATATGTTTGAAAGAATATCTATTCAAGAAGATGATCTTGGACTAACTTTTGTATTTGAAGAAATGAAAGTTTACTTCCAATCAAAAGATACTCCAAGTTAAAGAAAAAGGGTCTTTTGTTGTTCTCTTAAATGATCACAGGGATGACATGAGAAGCTACACAAAACTAGGGTGGTGGGGGTGGGCATGCATCTAATAAAGTTCTCATATTCCTTGGTTTCTTCACCATGCAAAGTCACATCCAACAATAAGAATCCTCCAGAATATATATATTTTTTCTTCTGATTTCCCTTAAGTAAAGGACAACAGTGGAACAGTTATAGAGCTTCCCCTTCTGCACAGATGCTAGCATCATTAATGCCTAGAGCTGGCATGCCATGTCATGTAGCATGAACATTTTCTTTATATTCTCATCAGATCCTTTTTCTGCATAAAAACCCCATTCGTTTGTTTCATGTCAAGAAAGCCATTTTTTTGGCTTCTTCACCTCTACCAGTTAGTTACTCACTAAACCCTTATAAGAGTCCATGCTTGTTTGTTTCTTTTGTCAATGTAAAAGCTCTTTCTTCCTCATTCTAGGAGGGAATGTTGTCTTCTTCATTTGGGAAAAAACTGTTCTTGCAGTTATGGCAGTGATGGGCTGCATTTGATTGGTTATACTGAATAACTTGATTTTCTACCTTGTTTTATGTGGGAATCATAGATTTCTTTTTCTTAGCCTATTTGAATGATCACTAGCTTCAAATAATTCATCTGATGTCTTGCATGTGGGAATGAGGTCATGTAATGCAGCCAAGGATGACTTGCCGGCAAACTTCTTTTGGCATTCTTAGTTAAGGTTCTAAAATTTGGTTGCAGTCACAGTTTTCTTTCAATCTTTTGATATTCTGATAAATTATAGGAAAATACCACTGATATGCATGATTTTGATCACAATAAGTCTAAACATTTTGATGTTTTGGCTGAACTCACAATTTTATTTTGATCTTTGATATGGTAGTAAACCACAAGAAGTCCAAAATCCTTTGATGTCGTGATTCAAATCATGGTCAAGTTTCACAATCCTTGACAAACTAGTTGTATTGGATAAATTTCTAAGTAAAAAAATATGTTTTTTTTAAATCATTGAAATTAGTTTATATACAAGCAATTTTATACCATTTTTTAATTCTTTATTTTTTTCTTAATTTATCTTTATTCAAATATTCATTTTGCTTTCTTGGAAATTCGGCAAGTCTTCTTTGGCTACATCAAGGTCTTCTTCTCTCATGCTAGATTCTTTTGATGATTCATGAAATCATGATTGGACATAATCAATGATGGTGAGATGCACAAATGCTAAGTTAAAACATTATATATATATATATATATATATATATATGATTTCATATAAGGTTGATTTTCACCTTGGTTGCTTTGATTTAACTTAATGGATTTTTGCAGGTATCAAGATTCAATGGTGTGCATGGTTTTAAAGTTTAATCAAGTATCTTATTGTTACTGCAGATCATAAAATTGAGTTTAGTGTAATATTTTGCAAGCTCCACACCAAAATAATTATTTATTGTGCCTTTGATTTTCTTTTTTGTTATAGTTGTAGTGTTTTATTTACATAGCTTTAGGGAGTTTTTCTGTTTTAGCTAGTTCTTTGAAGAATAATTATTGTTTTATTTTCTTACTAGGGATATCGTGACTTCTTTATAGAGAATATTAACTAATTAAATATACAAATTAAAAAACAAAACACGTATAAACTTTTCCTCAATAATTGAATGTTTAAAGTCGTTATGTTAGTGACAATATCATAAGGAAATTAATAAGTAAATTAATCTTTGATCTAATAAGTTAGAAAGAGTCGTGACAAAAATAATAATATAATATTTTTTTTATATGTAAGATATTGAAAATAGGTCTATTCTTGTGATGGTTTCATATTGTGTACGTTTTAAATTTGTGAAACAATAATATTACACATGATAATGAACCAGATTATAATTATTCATTAATTAGTAATTACCAAGTAATGTTCATATTCTCCGTTTGGCTATTTTAAGTTTATTCTACAAGTATAAATAATACCTCTAAATATGCACTAATTGAAATACTTTTATTATAAAAGTAATGTTCCGTTTTTTGTTCTTAAACTTGTTATTTTAAATAATGAAAGAAAAATTGATTAATTAAACACAATATTAGGAATAAATTAATATTTCATTAGAAGGTCAACATTTTGAACCTTTTTCACACGACCAAAACTACGTCATTTTGAAGCGTTAATTTGATAAGAAAAATATGAATAAAAAACAATAATAAGTGAAACTTAAATAGTTAAATAAAATATTAATAAGAACATGGGTTTTCATACTTTAAGAATATAATGACGTTAAAAAGAAATCTTATAAGTAATATAATATAGTGGAGTTTAAAAAAAAAACACTTTAAGATCTCATACACAATTACCTTCATTGCAAGAATTATTATATAAAATGAAATCTTAATTCATGTTTTTGTGAATTCCATTCTCTAACGTAACTTTAAAGATTTTGTTATAATTTTTATTTTTATTTTCATAGAAATAGAAATGTCTTAGTCATAATTTAATTAATATTTAATTTAATTTTTGGATGGCTCATATTTTAGTTAATCAATATTTTATTTAACCATTTTGTAAGATAAAAAAAATTATAATCTAAAATTTTATTTAAATCTTATAAAATATTAGCATATTTTAATAAATACCTCTTACATATAACAATCATGTGTGATAAAAAAATAAAATATAACAACCATGTATTGAATTTATGTCAACCTATATAACTCCAAATAACAAAATTATCCTAATAATTTTTTTAATTAGATAACTAATTTGACTTGTTATTAGTAGCATTATTAGATGGAAGCATTAAGCATCACTTTCCACAGTTATGACCAGACACTCATTTAATGTATACTGTTTCGAACATGACTTTCCAGAATGATAATCAATGCTATCACATGGAAAAAGATTTAAACTATTTTTTATTTATCATACACCATTAAAATTTATTATTTTCTAATTTTACTGTCTTTTTACACGTTAAAACATTAAATAAATTTAATAAAATTTGATTAAAAAAATTAAATTTATATAATTTTAAAACTAAATTGAATTAAAATTTCAAAAATAATTTAATTATAATTTTTACTAAAAATTAAGAAATTAAAAAACAAAAATATATTTAATTTCTTTTTTATTATTAATTTTCTCTCTCGAATTATAATTTCTCGTAATAATTAAAATAACTGAGGAACCTTTTCATAATAATATATGTACAGTAATTATTTTGAATAAAGTAAACTTTAAATAATCTACGAATGCGATGTCATTAATCATAAATAGTTATATTTAATAAATTTGTTCACTTTCATCATAGTCAATTCAAATTTTAAAACTTATAGCATTGATCTTTTCCATTGGTTGAGGGCTTAATTTTTTTTATGACACGAAAAATAATTAAACTCTAAAGTAAAATTAAAAGCAATATTATCTTTTCTGAATTATAATGGCTTCTAGAAGTGTTTGACCAGCTGCAAAACTCATAATTTCTAGGAAAAAAGCTACATATTTTTAAAATATAAATATTTGAGGCCAATACAAAGAAATACATTATTGTTGCTCAGAAAATACATTATTTCCCTTCATACGCTAACATTTAATTTGGTACGGAGAAAAAAAAAACTAGAAAAATATTCTCAAATCAAAGTTTGATTCCATATTAACAACGGATATTGAGAAGGGAAAACATACATAGAAGTACTAGAATTTTCATAGTGATTTTTTTTTTACAAATATCTCATGATATTTTACAAATTAAAAAAAAATGCAAAAAGAATTCTCAAAATATTCAAAAAGAAATACACTATATATTGATAAGATTTTATTTCTAATTAGAGAACAATTAAAAGAACACTTAATCCATGTTTTATCTCAAAGAGAAAAAGAAGAGAAAGAAAGAATTAGAAAGATATGAGACCTTCTCCTACAAGCAAACCCAACATAAGGACAATAAGACCAAGTGTTATGCTTTGACTTGGTGATAATAAGGTTTGTGAGTAAGCAAATAGAGTTAAGGTTGCACCAATTATTCCAATGGAAAGAGCCATCATGTTCTTCTTCATTCTTCTTTCTTCTTTCTTCACTGTGATCTTCCTCCTTTTGATGATGAAGATCTAAACTTGCTTCTTTCTTCTATCTTCACTTTGATCTTCCTCCTTTTGATGATGAAGAATCTAAATTGAAGATGCACCCTTCTCCAAAATCTGCATTTTTAGGTTGTTGGTGTTTTTTCCCCCCTCTCTAGCTTAACTAACCACCAATCTAGGATACAATACTTATATATAATCTTCTTTCCTTGTAAGTCCCAACTCTAAATGGGTTTGGGGTGGTGTGGGTGTTTATTAAATCAACTATAAGTATCCATTCATCATTGGATCCATTGGGAAATATAATATTGCCAAACAATTCCAATATGGTGTAAAATAATTTTCTTCTTAAACGTATTATTATTTTTTACATACGCATGTGAAATTTTATTTATTTATAATGATTGATCTATTTAAAAGATTTGACTAATTATCTTAATCAGTGTTTTTCTAATTATTTTTTCTCGTCTACAAATTTTATTCAGAACCGAAAACGAGACACAAAAACACAACCAAACACAAAAACCGACAAACAAAACACCACATAACAAACACAAAATGAAACGGAAGAATAACACGGCAAACCGGGGTGGGAGTGAAATGGTGACACCAAATCGTATGGTGAGGAAATCAGGTTTTACAAAAGACTGTCGAACACAGGGTCACGAGACGGAACTCACAAGCTAAGTCATGGGACATGTAAATGGATAATATCGCATTTGGAAAAATTTTTATTCAGAACCGTGTTAAAAATTATTTCCATAAAATTTTTTTTAACTAAGAGTGTTTGATTAAATTGTTTAACCGAACTTGGTTGTGATAAAATTAATAAATATTCACATTCCAATATGATAATAAACAAAATTCATTTACAAATGTTTTTTCCATTACGTTTTTCCTTAATGTTTGGTTTCATACAAATATATTAGTTATCTCATACATATGGGTATGGCTTAAAGGAAACACGGTTTGTAGTTTTACTAATTCTAAATATGATTATAGTGATTATGTGAATGGATATAAACTTGATTTAATTTAAAAAGAAATTTCATAATATAAGATATACATTACGAATATTAATACTTTTAACATAATATGAATGACAAATTGAAACACTTTAAGAAAAAGGAATTTTAACCACATGTTAATGAATATACTATAATTTATATTGTTAAGAAAACTTGTATTAAACATGTTTTACCATAAAATAATACTTAGTCCATTATAATTAATACCATTATAAAAGTATAAATAATTTTAAATGAGCTAAAAAGTATATAGTTTAGAGTTAAGTCAAGAACAATATTAAATAGTATAATATCGTGTCATTTATAATGATTTCTTCCTTAAAAATATAAGAATACTTAATTTTTTTTTTACATCTCTAATCCTTTTTCACTTGAAATGAATTTGAGAAAGAATGAATTGAATAAATTTGAAAGGATTTGAAAATAATTTTTGTTGTTTTTATTTCAAGTGGATTGGAGGTCACTGAGAATAAATTTGGACGTACCGTTTGTGATCCTTAAGTGTAGCATTTATTAATGTGACAATTAAAAATTTTACTTCCAAAATTGACTCTCACCTACTCCAAAGTCCATCCAATCATAACAAAAAATTTTTTTCAAATCCTCTCATCTATTTAATGACTCTCCAAATTTATACAAATGAACAAAGACTAAGTGTTTTCTGTAATGACAAACCAAAGAACAATTTGAGAATAAGAAAAAGTCTTACCTAATAACATAAAATCACTTTGCACCTAAACACGTCTAACACGTCTAAAGTGAGTCTCTTGGAAATGCTCAATAGCAAGAATACTTCCATAATTTTATAATATAAAGAACTTTTTATCCTAAAAAGCATAGATACTACCAATTTATTCACTCATACTATCTCTAAAAAAGTTAGCACAAGGTGCAAGACCAAAACTTCTACAAGCCGCACAATCAATTTTTATCTTAATTTAATCAACATTCAAGAATTATCAAAAAAATTATATATTATAATTATTTTTTATTTTCGGTTTAGTGGTTATATAAAAAGATTTTAGAATACAAAAATCATGCATATCATTCTTAATATGATTCATAAAACACTTTACTCAAATATGTCATAATTTTTAATTCATTAAATCATCCAAATAGTTGAAGTTACAATAATTAATCAGATGAGTTTGAATAAGTCACTCTGTGAAGATTTAATATAAAAAAATTCAATAAGTCATAGAAAAAATTTATAACTAGAAACTTCATCGCTTAAAAATTTACTATATAAAATATGTGATAGAAAAAAAAACTTTAATAAAATCTGATTCTTAAAGATAATCTTGCTAGCAATAACCACCAACCTATACATAAGATTTTAAAAAATAATTTTAAATCTAAAGTTGCTACAGTAAAAGACCTAAAATATATAACAAATTCAAGACTAGAACCCCATCTTTCTTTCTGTTCAAAACTCGCTATTCTCTAAACTTAAAAGAGTATAAAGAAACTAAAGTTTAGTCAATAAAATTTTAGTAAAATAAAAAATGAAAATCTATAATTTATTTATACTTTCTATTTTATCTCTTTATAATTTATTTTTACTAAATTTTGAATGTTACATTTTCATATTAATATTGTACAATATATCCTAACTTTTTTACACGAACTTCCCTTCCTTTATTAGTTCCGTTTCCTTCTACCCAATCTTTACAAATTATTATTTTATCTGTTTCATTAGGAAAAAAATACAAGTAGACAAGTGGACCAGTGTACAGGAAAAAAGACGACTTCGATCAAGCTGAGTGCCCGTCTCATGCATTTCCATTTACGACCATTAACTAAACAGCGCCTGAACACTCTGATTCTTTCTTGAAGACAAATGAAAAAGAAATAAAAGTAGTTTTCTAACAATATTCAATTTTAGAAATTATATTATTATTTTTGTTACTAAATTTATTTTTCAATTTTATTTATTTTATTGTTATAAAATACTTTTGAATTTTTTTTACCATAATAATTATGATATTGATTATCAATTATAAAGTTTAAAGTTCATAAATAACTTAAATATTGGCAATCAATATTATACAACACTATTATGTTATGGTTAGGGAGACTTTTTGTATTTTCTTTATTTTAAACGGAAAAAATTCTTGTGGTTCCCCACTTCTTTTTATGAAAATACTTTTATTTAATTTTTATTATGCCACTTTTACTCTATTCCTTCTTTTTCTCACTTCCTTTTTGTTATTGTAAAAATGAAAAAAAAAGTTCGTTTATTTAAAGAACATTACAATTAATAAGCAACATTAGTAAATATTTAGGGTATTTTTAATAAACGTCTCCAAAATTACTCACAGATAAAAACGTTTTTTTTATATATTAAATATTAGTTTGTACAACAATTATTTTTTTTTATAACTTAAATTATGAATAATTAATTTTAAGCTATAAAAAATCCCTTTTATAAACTAATGTTTAACCTAAAAACCATATTTTTTTTTTATAAAAGCACATCGGAAAAAGTTTGATTAATGAATCTTTATTATCCGACATTTAACTGATATTTCAATTACGTATTCATTTATACATAAACTAATGTTAAGTTATATTTTAATTTAATTATACGTTATTTTATTTTATCGTTAAAAAATAAAAATTCAAAAAAAAAATTATACAATGAAGGATCTATAAATGAATCTACATATAACCGAATTTCAATATTAATATAGTATATAGTATAATAATAATATATATATTATTATTATATTTTTTTTTTTAATTTTATTTTTCTGTTTAAAATGATCTCGAGCATTCTACAAATGTTTCAGTTTCAGTAAGTTGCTTAGAGGAACAAAAAAGAGGATAATAAAGCATCATAAATTACATTTGACTTGCTGACTAGTAAGTTTCTCACTTTCCACTGATTGCTACCACTTTTCAAAATTTGTTGCTTCCTTTAATAGCTTGATGCCATTCACAATGAAAGTGCAAAAAAGTTACTATCACCATCTAAAAAAATGTTATTAAAATGAAAGTTTATAAGAAAATTGACAATATAATATTTAGAATTATATTTTTATTTTAAATTAAGAAAATCAATAAGTTTCTTGAAAGAAAATAGGACTTCAATCAAATCTCTGTAGTTACATTTTTTTTCATTTATTTTATTCTCCAGTTATATGTTAATAATTTTCACTTAAGTCCCCATATTAAAATACTGAAATAAAAACAATACTTTCAATTACTTAATTAAAATGTTTGTGAAAAAAAAAACGCTAGAATAACTTAGAAATTTAATTAACTTTTTTAAAGTTCAACATGCTGCTGGATCGAGTTGTACCGAACTTACTTTCTTTAAGTTAGGTTTCAGGTTCGTAGATATTTCCTATTCATTATTTGCAATGAAACATGGATTAGAAGAGAAGAATCCCACTAAAAAATAAATAGTAGAAATTTTTTAGAAACTATCATTGCAAAATTATTAGTATTTAAGAATAATACTCTTAAAAAATTCACACCCTCGATGGATATGAAAATGGATTTAACACTTAGTGAACAGTTTTTTATAAATGTCAAAGTGATCATCACCACAAAAGAGATGAAAAGAACTTTGTATGTGCACTTTTACTCTTTTAGAACAGATTGATGTGATTTCCTTAGTGAAGTTTAACTTTACCTTAATAAACATCTTATCCAATATCCACACACTCCATCATTAGCACTACACATGAACAGTATAAAGTTAAATAATGAAATTCTTAATGTTTTTGTTAGGAAGAAAAAATAGGAAAATGTGAGATGGAAGAAAATTTAATAAAATGAGAATTAAAAGAATGTTTCATTAAATAGAAATAAAAAATTAAGACAGAGAGTAATGCTTTTCTCTTATCAATCATATATTGTAAAATTTTGCGAAAGATTTAGTTTTAACTCTGATAAGATATTAAAATGATGGGTTTTAAACCTAACTCAATCCCACAAAACCGAATTGGCTTGGAAGGTGAGATTTTGCACTCACTTATATATTATAATTTG